ATTAACCAAATTAATGACAGAATACCAATCAAATTTAATGTTGATTTTGACAAGGTTAAAAAATCTGGCATCAGACTAGGTAACGAACATGTATTCCAGCGAGATTCTTCACGGATAATTTCCTCTTAATTACTACAGTTAATGAACGATTTATGCACAAGTGGTTTCCCAATATTTCCATGTGTCGCTTTGTGTGCATCGTCAGGTCATATTTTAGTTCGTGAAAAAGGACCTAGTTTTGGTACTTGTGTTTAAGATTAGTGATAGTCAGTCTGAAATTGATTGAATAAGTTAATTCGCTAACAAGTTGTCTCGAACAGAAAGTACCTGTTGCTAAGTGTTGTGATATGTGGAACATTCCATTATGTTTGCACTGGAACTACTGAAATTCAGACAGGAAATAATTTTAACTGATGAAATCGGCAATGTGTTTCCACCTGTTACTTTCATGAGAAATTCAAAAGGACAGAAATCGATTATTCTTAAATGAGAAGAGCAAAACCATAGAACAGAAGTTTACATTAAATGCGATTATGCTGTATTATTCAAGTAGTTTAGTGATACTTCCCACTCGAATATCAACTAAAATCAAGCAAATCTAATCTCTGAATTTTCGATAGAAAAGTCTACCATTGTACGAGCGATTTCTACTTGTCTTAAACAAAGAATATCTGTGGTGTGTCTTGTTAAGTATCAAAATGGTAAACGATTTCCGTTCGATGCCATATTGTAAGGATCAAATTGTTCTATGAAATTAGTATATTATAATTGCTCATTCTCATTCTCATTCCCACTCTATAAACAAGTCATTACAGACTCTGTATGCTTGCGAACAAACGTTTTGTTGCGTAATTATCTCTCAACACAAACTACCATATTCAGGTGAATATCAATTTGTGACTACACCTCCATCACATTTGATTTAATTAGTATTCACTTGTTTATCATTTGCACGAGTGTATAATTATCATCCCGTTCAAATCAATTAAATTATCTATGGGGAATAATAAGAATGATGAAATCATTATGATTATTGTCGAAAAACTGAACGTATAATTATTGAAAGTTTATTATCGCACAGGTGAGTCATTTCGGGTTATTCAATCTAGTAATTATTATTAAAAATTCCTTTCAATCGAGAGATTATCTCAGAATGAAATAAGTGAAATGAAACAAGCTGAGTAGACCGCTACTGTTGGAGACAACTAGACTCGATGCTATGGCATATGATGAATGTTGATCAAGTTGTGGGGCACATAAATATGGTGCATAGTTATTACCCATTAGGAAATGATGGATAACTCACCAGTCAAACAACTTCACTGAAATATGGTGATCAAATGATGACTGTACACGAAATAGACTGAATGAAGCGAGTCGACGAGAGGAATGTGTTTGAGAAGTTCGAAGGATTTTCACAATAAATAGACTAGTTGATGATTGTTTAATCAGGGCAAACTCTTAGTTTTATAGGATCTATTTCCCACTATTCAACTAACGTTTTTATTCAATCCACATTCAGTTCAATAGTCGACAATGACGCGAAAGGGAGAATACTTTCGTTTGATTTGCCATTTACAGTCATCCTAGTTCATGGGAAATATGTGTTTTCACCATCTAATAAGTATTTTCACTCAATCAATAAGATATTTTCACTTAATCAAAATGTTACACTGGAAAGAGAACACTTGTAATAAAATTTTCATGTGTCATGTGTGCATTGCATTATTCACCAGAGCACAATTAACCACTTGTTACCTACAACCAGCTGAATGTTTCTCCTACCAAACTTTAAGCTTCACTACTTTCGTAAAAATCATGGAACACATCGATTTACTTAACAGAGATTTTATTTCATGTTCACATTTACGGTTGAATGGCCAAACATGTCTTGTTTAAATGATGCACTTTTCCATCACAGTGCCACTTTCATGTAGTGTTCTTATTGTTAATATTTTATACAGATGTGTGAAAATCACTTGAATGATATTACACTACAATTCATTCCACTTATCAAATAGACATCGAATATTCCACTAATCACTTCATGAGTCAATAACTCGAGTCAATTTCAAGACAATTTACATTGCCAACTTATATTATCAGAGAATTTCACAATATTGCTGAATATTGCTAGCATACGTTGAATAATGTGAACCAGATGATCAATTCACCAGTAATCATTTGTGTTCAGTCCTCTCCAGGTCCTCAGGTTTCAGTCTCAGCACCATTTGTTCACGTCCTGTGTTAAAATGCCGTGTTTTGAAAAGTTACATTAGCAGCTGAACGTGAATAGTGAGATGTCCATTTCCTGAGGTTGTCGAAATCGCTGAGACATAAATCATGTTGGTTGTCTGCACCTAAACTTGTGTGATGGCTTTTGTTTTGATCAGTTGTGATGATACATGACAGAAACAAACCGCCTAATATAATGAATGCGGTCTGGTTAACTTGTACCAGCCAATATCCGTTGGGTGACCAGACATGTTAAAATGTATATCATGGTTCCGAAACCGGAATCAGATTATTGTCATCAAGTTTGTTGTATTCGTCTGCAGGATAAACACACAATTTCGAAACCTATCTTCTCTTTATACGAAATTGTGTGTTAGATAATCAACTAGCCGAATACCATCTTATTAACATAATGTTCGTGAGACAATTCTGCTTTCGTTCAATTGCATCTGATAGAAAATGCAAATTTGAACTAGAACACCAAGTGCAATATTTGTGTATGATTTTTCCATCCTCTCATAAACAGTCTGATCTAAAATTGTTTATGTTATTCTTCCATTTGTTCTATTCATTTGTTTATGATGTGGACTGATGCTTGATCCAGAATTTGTCTTGTGTAAATCAACTTTGTGTTAAACCGTAATTGTGCTTTCCACCCTCCCTCTCACTTTATTCAACAAATCAGTGTGTATGTGTGCGTGTGTAGGTGGGTGGGTGGGGGTAATGCACACACAATATTCTGTCTATAGAGGAAATTGTAAATTTTTGACATGAAATAAACATAACTTGATGTTCAAGTTGATAAAGTATACACTAGTACACTAGTACTTAACAAATGGAATTGGAATATTCAATTAGTGTTGTATGCACAATATGCACGCGTCTGATCTGATTCATCAATGAATTCACGTGTTAGTATTTGTATACGTTATTAGTCATATGTGGATTGGAATAATATTGGTGTGTAGCAGACTGTTTCTTGTTAGGATCAGTAGTTTGAATCAGTGGGAGTTAGGTATCAGATTAGGTCTATGTGTAGGATAGTTCTTTGTTTGACTATGCATTCACTAAAAAAATGTGCTTGCACCCAGTGAATTAATTTGATCTATGAGAATGGTGTATATGAATTTGTGTATATTCGGAAAGCACATGAAAAGGACTTAGGCATATGTAAATTTTTCATCGTATCGATGTTTTTTCTGTAGTACTGACACACATTTATTCAAACATATTTATTTTTAAAGTATACTGTTATAATCATCGTGATTAATTCTTTACATTTTCTAATGAAATACCGAATCTCTATAACAAACCATTATAAACATTGATTGATTCACTAGGTTATAAATGATCTCTACGATTTGTCCACCAAGTAATTACGTTTTTTACAATTTTTTTGTGCTTCGTTAAATACTTTTACGCTACTACATATATAGCTCGCAGCTTTAATGAATAAAAATTTATCTTAAATATGTTTTTTTCAATTTTGACATTTCTTGGAAAATTAGTTCAATTTTTGTTGTTACAGTATATATCCTTCGTACTCTTTCGCTCTACTTGATTCACTTGTATTTATGCACAAGGAGTCTTTGCATTAAATATAAATAGAAGCACACATTTAAGCAAAGCTTTTAAAAAAAATGTTAAAAATATTCTTGAAATCCTCAATGACTTTTAAAAACAACTGAGAATTTAAATTCATTAATTGTGATCTGCCTAATCGTATGCTGGCAATCAATTAACGTTTTAGTGACTAGTTTATTTAATTCGATGTGAAAGTGCATTTTTCCTGATGCTAAGTATTTATGTGGACATAAGCGGGAGTCTATATAACATCAAATTAATTTCATAGGCAAGTTACCTAGTTTTGGTTATTGGTTTTGTAATCAATTACTCATTCGCTCAGTAGATAATTCAAAACAGCATCTATGGTATGAGGGTGAATCTTAACAGTTCAAACATTAATTGTTACAGGAAGTCTCAAATTGCCGAATCACATTTACGAATATTTTAACTAATTATTCATAATGATTCCTAACCTATTGACCACTGAGACGGCCGGCATCCAACGGTGTTAATGTCTAACTTCAACTAATCCTCGAAATCGAGCGGGACCAATAGATCCTGGGTTCGGATCTCTCGAAGCGGGATCGTGGATGCGCACTGCTGAGGAGTCCCATTATAGGACAAATGGTCGTCCAATTCTCTCATATTTTCCATGGTTGTCTAGCTTCAATTGACTCATGATTACAACTATTAAATTAATATAATATCCACGATCCCCCTTCTGAAAATAATATTAAACCATATATATTTTTAGCTTTGCGAAACCTAAATAGGTCAATTTTTTATTCCATTGGTAAATTGTTGTGATCTAGTTGCTTAGATTATGTTAATTTTTAAAAAATGGCAATTATAGTGAATCCCGTTTAAGTGTGATTTTAGGTATAAAAAAAAACAACAATGAAATCTTTTTCACATGTAAAAACTATGATATTAATAAACTCATCCATACGCTAGTAACATAATTAAAAATTAGTTTAGTACAATCAAAGCCAAAATTCGTGTCAGCCAATACAATTTAAGGAAAGAAACTTGTGCCTATTAAGTCGATTTCTATTGGTCATTTTTTTAAACACCTGGTAGGTGGGTACAGACAATACTTTATAAGCGATGAATCAGAAAAGAAAATCTGAATTGAATAATTTCATTCACTGGAATATATACTAAATTAATTTCACTTAGAAAAAACGTTTATTGGAATAATGCAAAGAAATAAAAAACAAAATAATCGTGGACCCTTAAGGGCAATTTCTATCGTTTTACCAAATGTTAACAATATTACTTCGACTTTACCAATAAAACGGACAATTATAACCAGTACAGATTGTGAAAATAAGCCATGGTAAGCTGAACAGTATTTTTTTCAAATGTTCCGTTATATAATTATTATTGTTAAGTTTTAACACTTTGACAATATTCAACGTTAACCTAGTAAAGTACATCCATAAAGAAAAGTTATCTATGAGTAGGTTGTACACTTGAATAGATAATGTTAAGGTATTGTAGAGGGTGTTCATTTAAATTACAGGAATTAGGTGACAAGTTTGACAGTCGCTGTTTGGAAATTGGTTCATGCGAACATTTTATAAAAAAAGCAATTCAGCAAAAGTTAAATCACTACACCTTAAAAGTTAACATTTGTTTTCGTTCAATAAAATAATCGGAAATGTTTCATAATAAGTGTCTCCAATCCATTTATGATGGAATCATTTTATTATCCTTTTATAGATAAATATTTGCCATATAACTATAAATATGAATGTACAACTTAAGTAAATGAAAAGAAAATTTACTTCGCTAAATTCTCTTTTTTTTCAATGACACAATAGGTTACTTTAATTATCTAAATCTATGGACATTCAAGAGTTTGATGCTTTCATACATCACTCAGTTATAAAGTGGAAATAAGTATAAATATTAGTCAAAATGACATTGACTGATTGAAGGAATCACGAACATAGAAACATCGAAATGTTTTCGTATAATAATAAGAATAAGGAACTTTGTTCATTAAATCTTTAGTTGGTCCCTCACAAGTCGAAAATTACTCAGTATGGTAGTGAATTAATTTTAAAAATTAGGACATACTCTGATACGTACCTTTTCTCTTAAACGAGTTGCTGAATATTGTATTGGAATTCAAAAGCTGTAAACACTTCGGTGCCTGGATTTTAGAACTGCGTACTTTAGTTCGTCCCATGTTCTCAATAAACTATATTAAAAATTCAGTTCTTTCTGATCTTACCATATGCGAATAGGCTAGGCGGATTAACACCGTCTGTAATAATTTGAAAGACTTATCCATACTTGGTTTGACTAGTTCGAGTCACCATTTATCATTAATCTACACCCATAAGCTCTGTTCCACCATCCTAATGATCATGTGATATCCATAATGATTGACTTTTTTCTTGTTATTCTATTTGTCTAAAATGAATAGAATTATTAGACAGGGAGAGACAATCGTTCATTCAAATTTTGACAAATTAAAATAACTCCACCAAGCATCTCTCTTAGTTTTATTGGAAATATGGATGAGAAAATGAACTGATCTTAAATGTCTTGAGATTTATGGATTATTATAATAGCTATGACCTATATGCATAGTTAAGTGATAGGAGGGTCAGATTGGTATTACGTATTGGTATTTTCATGTGATTACGTAACATTATCCAAAATTAAGGATATTAACCATAACATTCATGATCCCCTATCCCGATGATTGGGCGAAATGAGTGAGGGGTGTGTCCTTTACCCACATTTTCATAGGCTTTTAACTATTCCTCTGTTATAAATATGGTATAAAAATGTTCTCACCGATTAGCTTTACGTTCCTTTCAGTTTGCCAGTGGATCATACATTGTCTACACCATTGTGTCGTGTAGTCACTTCAAGACTGTCTCAAACTAAAACATTTGAAAATTTTACTGAAATATTACCAATGCCTTACGATCATCATCATGCCGTTATGATAAAGAAAATTTTAGTAATCAGAAATCTGACATACGTCATCATTTCCCTATTCGCAACAGTATCAACAGACTGTCATACGTAGAAACTGATAATGTGAAAGCATCTGATATTACTGTTGATTCTCCGCTTACTACATCGTGTAATTTGAATACGAGCTTATCATCTGTGGATTCTATTTTTTCGTTTGGTGGTGCAACACGCAAACGTCAATCAAGCTCTGGTGAAATCGATACAAAAGCTAAGCAGTCACGTTATACTGAAAGCCAAAAGTCCGTGAAGCTGAGAAATGACAAGGATACAATTTGCTTGACAATGGGTGCAGAGGTCAAAGCTCATCCTAGGTACAATCTGAGAAAGAATGCACTTGATGCGGACATCAATGAAGATAATATACACAGTTCTAAGAAGCATTTGGCTCCTATTTGCCCTGTTCCCATGCCAAGCGGCTTCCCCCTTCAGCTTCCTATTCGTTACTCATCTGTTTCACTTCCTTGGGAAATGAAATCTGACACAAGGTTCACTTCATCAAGAACTGTGGAAACACAAACTTCACCTACTCGCATTAATCGTAAGTATTATATAAATCCTAACGATTGTTTGCCAGTCATATGCGACAAGATGTATATAATTTTCTTTTTTAAATTTATTTTCAGAGACTTCTGCTTGTGAAAAACCTAGAGGTAGACGGCATACAGGGTACGTTATAACGTTTTGTATATCATAAATCTGAAACGTTCGAACACACATTTTTGTTAGTACGTTTAAAATAGTAAACTATTTTACTAAACTACAAATACATACTGATTTTAACAAAATCAAAGTTGAGTTCTTGAGACAGACAGTTCTTCATCTTCATGAAATGACATTACAAATGTTGGTTCGCTTATAAATTGTTGCTATACTTGCACATTATTTTATCAACTAACCTTTATTGTTTGTTTTGTTGCAAATGCTTGTGATTATGAAATCATCCATATTTCAGGTCAAACAGCTTAGTAACACGCACTAAATGTAAACAAAGGATTATAAAATGTTCATAATTCAGGTTATTTATTTTTAGCTCAATTTAGATTTATGGTAGACATTTTAAAACTTATCATCAAATTATTTTTTTACTTGTTTAATTACAGATTGGGTCTTCGTAATTCTGCTACTGTCCAAGTACTTCAAAATTTAAAACGAAAGTTTAGCCATCTGAGGAGAGCAATCAGCGCTGACAGAATAAACAAAAGTTCTTCCACGCCATCTGACACCAGAGAGTCCCATACCTGTAATTATACATCCCTTCCAAGGAATCCAGACCAGTCAAGTGATCTAAATATACAACAAAACCTTGAAGCTACACCCTACAAACTTACTTGTAAAGTTGTACGTAAAAATCCTGATGGCTCTATTCAGATCTCATTGAGACGTTCATCAATAAATGGGCAATTCGGGTTTTTTATTGCTCGTGACTCTAAAGGTAAATTTTGATAAATTTCACTGATTATTTTGTCATTGAATACTATTTTACTATTACTGTCGTGTTCGTGTCAATTTAGTGCAAATTGACATTGTATGCAGCTTTTATATTCTTCTATTGATTTATAACGAAAACAGTCTGTACATTGGTTTACTTTACTCAACTAATAAACGTAATATCAAATTCCTCTTTCATTGTATCTTTTTGTCTTTCAGGTATATATGTGACTCGGTTGGGAAGTGTTCGATGTGCGGCTAAACTTTGGGATGTATTTCATGTTGGTGATAGAATTTTAGAAGTTCAAGGTTTGTCATGCGATAATCTCGATGTAGAAGAAATTCGAAATCTTATACGTGGTTGTGAACTTGTTGAATTTAAAATTAAACCATGCTCTCATACAGATTCAAATTTTTCGCGCAAACATTCATTATAATTGAGTCTTTCTTAATTTGTTTTTATTTCATTCAGATTATATATAGTTGTTATTGCCTTTTATTAATTTCATAAACACCTATTTATTGTACAAAGATTTCCAGATTTTTATGTTTTTAAAGTAAGATTGTATAGTTAAATATCTCCTTGTAAACTATTTTGATTCTACTATTATTATTATGATGTTGATGATAATGACGATGATGATTTAATTGTACTTAACAGATAGAGTTATAAATATTAAATTTTTTTAATTTCTCATATAAGATAATTTATACATTTTTAATAATACTTTCCTTGTTTCTGTACATACGAAAATTTATTGAATAACATGATTATTTGTATTTTCCTTATGTCTTTTTTTCTACGTTACTTATGTAGTTGATGAAAGGAAATGACAAATTTATTGTTTGTTTTTACATTACTCACATATTAGTCAGCTGCTTACAACCTGCTTCGGTTTGGGTAACCGTGCAGTATCCTAGTGCTCACACAAATCAAATGATTTATGTGGCGCATATCTATTTGGTGTCTTCTTGTTTGTGTTTAAATAAATAAATAGCCTACAACCTGTAATACTTAAGAATCATAATTATAAAATGGGTTATGTTGAAGACATTAGTTTAGCAAGGGTGTAAATAATGTTAATGAACTGAATGTTGTAAATATATACCTTATGTAAAAGAAAATTCTACAACATTGATTGGGGCAATAGTTCAAACAGCCAGAAATAGGTGACTACATAATGAGTAAACGCTGATAGGGACGAAGTGAGCAAAGCTCAGTTAATAAAATGAGATCACTAACCCGGAAGATAATTGAAATAAAAACTTAATGATGTAATAAATACAAGAAAAAGTTTAAGATGCAACGAAGGAATAATTGTCACCAAGGCAAGGAAAGAATAATAACCATATCCTTTTGAACATAAAAATCAGGTTATTAAAGCATGATAGCAACCGCTTTGGCAAACTGGAATTTGGCTGCTTACTAAACACCTCGAAATATTGCATGTTATCTACCTGATGTCCTATATCAAAGAGATGTTTGAAAATTGCATTGTTTATAGTCGTTCTTTTTCTTGTTCTAAGGTTTTTCGGAACATGCTCAAAATATCTTAGATGTGCTCTTCTTTCCGTCTGGCCAATGTAGTTGCTTTCACAGGTACACGTAAATTTATAAATACATTTAGCGGATTAACATGAGATTAATCAGTTATACAACGTAATGATTACATAGTTTTGCCAAAGTGCCACTTTTCTAAATCGTATTACACTTTGGATCAACTTTAAGAATCTGTATTACATAAACTGATTATGCATATTTTTATGCCCACAGGGATCATAGACGAACAAAATATTCTGTACTTGTTAAAATGTATATTAACAGAAACTTCTTACATTCGTATCCCGACCCTTCATAATCAAAATGATTAAATGCATCTTTCCAATACTTCTTTGTACATTTTGACAATAGTTCTTCCAACCGAATAACCTATTTTACGTTGTAAATTCTGGCCTTCGACTGTTTAGTGTATAACTTGTGTTAGAGGGAGAAAGGAAATATCTGAAACGTAGAACTTGAAAAACGGTTAGTTGAAGACTAACTAAGCATTTAATAAGCCAAACTATTGATATTAACTGGTTATGACACACGGATGAAATAAAGACAGTCTGGTAATGAAAACTAGTTGATAGAGTAAGATTTAATTTGCATCCCAATTTAAGATTGTAGATTGTATATATCATATACATTGGAATTTACTTATCAAAACTGGTCAATTTTGAAAAGGATATTTGTTTTCAAGTTATTTGACCCTTATCTATTATTTATTTGTGATAAAAAACTAATTGACCATCCGTATCTCAATTAATATAAAGTATCAAAATGATTATTGATAAATGCGTCAATTCATTTACTCAAATATTAAAGAAGACCTCATGTGTTATGTAACCGGATAGAATATACAGACATTTTTGTTGATTAGTCAACAAGACACGTGTGACAGTCTATTATAATGGTCCTCACCACTAGATTGACCTTTCTTATAGACAACCAAACATGTTGACATTTTAGATAAAAATTCCTGTTGGCCTACTTTCCTTCTCGTGATTCTCACGGAGTGAGGCGAATTATAAAAAGTAACATGTTTATTTAAAAAACAAGATTTCTGTGTTGTTGTATAGACAAATTAGGGGAACCCTGTTTCATAATCTGATTCGAACCAAACCTGTAGATCTTTTGAAAAGGTGTTGATTAGTCTTTTTGAAGACAAATCTGAACGTCTAACCTAATAAACATGAAAACATGGTTGTTAATTTACAGGCCAGATAACAGTAATTAGATATTATGTGGGTGTGATAAGCTTAATTGGAAAACATTTTTACCCTTATTTAATGTCGCAACCACCAGACTAGAATTGTCTAATGTTTAATCACCTTCGTTTATAAGATATCATAATAAGATAATTTCTTTAATTTCAGGGTGAATTTATTCTTATATTATCACTATTTATTTGTGAATGAATTGTCAACCTCTGTTTAAATTCATTTCAATTAAAAGAAATATTATTATAGCTATGAGAAATTCAGGAAGTCAACTTTGTGCTTATGTTTTGTTAAGTTGTCGACTGAAATTCTTCGTTTAGAAATTCGAAGACTTTTCAGTCATAAATTATCATTTTTAACTCAATGAATGTCATCGTTTATTTGGTTTTTAAAAAAAAATGTAATCTGATTACTCGTATTGAGATTTGTCTCATAAATTGGGGTTTTCCTTGTCAACTAAAATGCTGATATTACTCAGCTAATCACTATGTAGTTAAACTATCGGAATCACTAACATTGCTAATTAAGTTGATGAAATTATGTACAGTAAGTTTTAAATGGTTGCACAGATGGATACTTATTGGTTCTATTCATAACACATGTGAAAAAAACTAAACTGGAACAAGTCCAATTAAATGTGAAGCATAGAGACGATTATTTTTAATAAATCGTCATGAACGATAGCTTACTGAGATGTTATTTCATTTATGTAAGTGGCTATATAACAAAAATTGCAGTAAACTAGTCATTTCATAATAAGAAATATTTATCATTCAATTGTGAGACTAATTGTCCTAAAAAATTGAGTAACATCTTTAGTGAAATATTTCTAACCTAGTGTTAAGTGATTATTCGAAAAAGTAGAGCATCCTAACGGCATATCTCATTTTCGTTAGTTTAGTGATTTTATGATACCAGTTCACAATGTACATCGACATGCTATTCGTTCCTAAAATATAATGAAGAAACATGTGAATTGCTAAGTAAAAACAAATTGACCATGGAAATGAAAAACACAAATTCCGAAAAATAGTAATCATAGAGATTAAAAGTCGGCTAACACATATGTCACGCATTTATCTGCACTTAATTCATATAATTTAACTGAAGAGGTTAAACATGGCATAAGTCAATGATTACTCTATAAATTATTCATATTCAAATATTCAGCGATCAAAAAGTGACATGACTTCGATAATGTTTACCTTTTTCAGCTTTATCTAACATTTGATCATTTCTCGTGACAGGTATTTTAGTTTACTTGAGTTGGATTTAGTGACACAATAAAGTGGACATTTTGTATGGTTATTTATTAATTTTATCTATCAGAGTTTGCAGTTATACCGAACCATTTAAGAATACAGTGAAGTTATTATTGAGACATTAAAAAGGTTTTGACAGATTGAAATAAATCTTAAAATTACTTTCGCTAAATACACAGATTAAGAAAGCTTGTTTGTTGAATTTCTAGAGTAACTAGATTAAAATTGTATTGCTTAGTACGGTAATGGTTAGCTTCGATATTCATGACACGTCTTTTGTCCTATCTAAGTTTAATCGGTTTTTTTTAATACCTATATTCCACTGAGCGTTATACATATCCCGAATTTCTCTCCTCATCAACAGCATTATTTGTTTGGACAGAAACATGGTTCAGTTTCAGCTGTTGTTACTTGTTTCTGGAGATGTGAGATACTGTAATGCTATGCAAGCCCACATAGCTTATTCTAGATTCCAGACAGGCCAATCTATTCATTATTCTTGAGTCACATTCCGACCATGTTAATTATTGGCTTATCAACCTTGACTGTTCTTATTTTATTCATCATATGTCTGTAACTTATGTTTTTGGGCTATAAATATTGATTAACGCTTGGATAAGTCAAGTTGGTTCACATGCCTTCTTTACTGCGCTTTATTATGCTCCCTTCTGTTCTTTATCTTCTTTTTATGTCTCTGATCATTTGTCTGGATCAACGATTGCATGAAATATACGTATTCGAAATTCATTCTCGTATCGGACTTATTTAATTCCGTTATACACTAACAAGAGTTAAATCGGTGATTACATATGAGGATTGGTGACGTGTATATTTCAATAACAATCATTCATACGATTCAATCGGAGTCGGATCTCTGGTCACTAAAATACTACCAAAAAATAAGTCATATTAAGGTTATTAAATCATAACTCAGTTGTTAATATTTTGAACATAATTCTACTAAGTGACATTTTAAAAGCCAATTTAATGCAGTCATTGCTGGACTTTTCCTACTATGAAGTGTTCGAGTATTTTTAAGTAGAATTATTTTAATTATGAACAGAATGGTTTTTCATGTATGTATAAGATATTTCTATCTGGAATAAATGAAACCCAATCATTATTTTCTTAAATATCAAATAAAGTATTCACTCAATTTGACTTTGTTTTCATAACCAATCATCATTTAATTCATGTTTAAGAACATTTACCACCACTTTGTCAGTCAATTCAGTAACAACGTAGAACTTCGTACGTACATACATCAGTCCGAGTTGCCAAACCACATTAGCACAGAGATGCAGTTTCCGTTTCGAATCCCGTAGTGGTAGAGGTAACTCCCACTTTGTATATAACTTCAGTTACTGATTCTAATTAATGGGAAATTTCAAGACAATTTAATAACTAAATGT